AATGAGCAACAGCAAAGCACAGCAAAGAAGCTGAGACAAACTCCCTCCCCATGGCCACCAGGGTTAGTTGTAGGAGAAAGCAAGTCTTGGTGTCAACTCAGTTACTGCTGAGGGAGTCCGTGTGGCAGCTGCCCAGGCTGGCAGGGTGGGCACACAGATGCCGAGAGCAGGCCCGCCCCGCCCTGTGATGGGACTGGCTGGGAACACAGGAAAGGAAATTCTACTCCCTGGTGGGCCATTTCCTGGAACGCTACAAGGATCTCAGCTGCGTGCCCTGCGAGTCCTTCAGCCCTTCACGTGGGTTTCCTGGTTTCAGCATCTTGTGACTGTTGCTTGGTAACGGGGGGATGTGGTCTTCCTGTCTCGACACCGTCCCCTTCTCCCAGTGAAGAGGAGGGGCGTCCCCCAGGACAGGCCGAGTGAATTCAGGTCCCGCGCCTTCCCTGCTTTTCTTCTCTTCCCGGGTTCCCAGAGTCTAGTGCCACATGATGCAGTAGAGCAGGGGTCCTCAAACTACGGGCCACGGGCCACATGCAAATACAAATATTGTATTTGTTCCCGTTTTGTTTTTTTACTTCAAAATAAGATATGTGCAGTGTGCATAGGAATTTGTTCATAGTTGTTTTTTTTAAACTATAGTCCAGCCCTTCAACGGTCTGAGAGACAGTGAACTGGCCCCCTGTTTAAAAAGTTTGAGGACCCCTGCAGTAGATGCTCTGGAAACATTTCCCCATGAGTGAATGAGCAAAGGGCTGCAACTCCAGAAGCTCACTGGAAATTATCTTAAAAACCAAAACAACAAAAACACCCACAAGGGCCCAGGGACACTCAGTGACGTCCTTGCAGTCTCACAGCTGGTGAGGAGCCGAGCCAATGACACCCAGGTGAACAAAACCCTCGTGACCAGAGACTTGGACCGGCCTGGGTGGGGGCGGGAGGACCAACCGCAGGCAGTCGTCCTGACGTGAAAAGTCTGCTCACCTGCTTCCCACTCAAATATTTATGGAGGCAGAAGTCGGTTAAGGTAGTTTTGTGTTTTTTGTTTGTTTTTTGCATCGGGGTCATTTGTTAATCATGTCTGTAGAGGGGTTGATTAGACAAAAAATAATAACGGTTTTATAGTCTAGGGCACTTTTCTCAGTCTGCCCTGCCCCAACAAGAAATCTGGGAGAGCCGGGAGCTTTTTGTCTTAGCTTCTCATGTGTGTGGCAGTAGAGACGGGGTGTTCTACTAAGGAGACTGTGTTTTGAAGAGTGTTTTTATTTAAATATATTTTTATTGATTTCAGAGAGGAAGGGAGAGAGAGATAGAAGCATCAATGACGAGAGAATCACTGACCGGCTGCCTCCTGCACGCCCCACTGGGGGTGGAGCCTGCAACCCCAGCGTGTGCCCTGGTTTGCAGGTCAATGCTCAGCCACTGAGCACACCCCCTGGACTGAAAAGTGTGTTTATAGTCCTTACAGATACTAGGTCAACACGGACTGAGGGCAACATTACTCATTTCAGCTTTTGAATCCAGTGAGGCCACAAGGTGGCGCAATTTTGCCACAAAATCATTTCAAACCTGGGGAAGGGCCAGTGAGGAGCCGCAGGGCTGCGGGAGGAGGGGCAGGGTGTGCGGGCTCCTGTTCCGCCCTGGAGTCTACATGCTCCTGGAGGCCCAGGGTGCAGTCTCTTCCCGCAGCCCTGGGGACTGTCCCTGGGAGACCTCAGCTCGCACTGGAAGGGCCGCTACCCCTGAAGGCTCGATGGCATCGATTTCATCGGGGTGTGGATTTTATTGCAAACTCAAAATAATGCCATGTTTGCGGAAACTGACAGGAGCCTTCCCTCCCTGCGCGGCAGCAGTTGTTGCTCTACCTCCTCCCAGACTCGCCTGTGAGTCGCCTGCAGTGGAATGCAGCCCGGTCCTGCCAGCAGGGGCTGTGTCATCCACGTGAGACAGGGCCCTGCAGCTCCAAGGAGGATCGGCTTACACCTCCCCTCCAGTACATTTCCTCTGACAGCTTGCAGAGCGCGGGCACCGAGGCACCCGGCCGGGGCCTCCCCTTAGAAGACACGGTCCTGTGATATTGGTAAAAACACTGCCAGGTGCGCGTGCCGCCGCTGCCTTCTCATCGGGAGTGTGGGCACGAGAGCAAGTCCCTTCCTTGTCCGAGGCTGGCCAGTCCTTGATTGCAAACAGAAACTTCTGAGTGAAGCGACTGCAGACAAAACCCTGAGGAGCCTGCACTGACATGGGCCGCCTCCGCGCACTGTGCCACCTGTCTACCTCCTTAAAACTCACCCCCTCGAAGAGTAAACACTGACTCCTCAGGTTAGGAGAACGGTACCTGAGAGAAGTAGTTGGATTTAGAAGATGTTAGCCTTGGTATGAAAATACATAGTATGGCAGGAAGAAAATGTGGATATCATTTTTATTTAAAGAGAAAAGTTGTAGCTTAAAAAGGGGCACATGACAAAACTTTCCCATCAGGACAAGATTGAACATTTAAACTCTGTAGGTGGTAACTGTACCAGAAATTAGACAGTAAACAGCAGAAGTGAGTGAGTGGCCAGAAGTCCTCAGCGCAGACAGAGTGACGAGGACTGGAACTCGGACGGAGCTGCTCAGGTGGCCCCGTCGCTCCGGCTGCCCGGGAGGTGGACCTCGGGGATCTGTGCTAAGAGCACTGCCAGCAGCCGCCCCTTCTCGGGACTTCCTGACAATGGCAGCCAGCTTCACTCGGAAAGTGCTTACGTAACAGAGTCTACGGTTACCTTCTGTGCACTTGGAACCATTATAGGAACTTGCGCGCTTCAGACACTGAACGGGCAGGAAGCAACGCCGCTCTGGCACCATGAGCCCGAGTGGTGGTGCAAGGACCATTCCTCAGACCTGGCCAGAGCCCCAGGGAACGGCTTCGTGCTGGGGTCAGGCAGGCAGTGGGCAGGAGGCCTTCAGCTGGTGTGGGGACAAGAGGAACTCTCAAAGATACCCACGTCTCTAGGAGACTGAGCCCAGCACACCGCAGAGGACAGAGCAGGAGGGGCGGCCCAGGACCTCCTGCCACCCAGCCGCTGAAGGAATGACATGGGAGCCAAAAGAATAATCATCGTAGCTGACAAAAACCCATCGTCTTGTCCTGGCTGGGTGGCTCACTTGGTTGGAGTGTCATCCTGTACACCAACAGGATGCGGGTGTGATTCCTGGTCAGGGCACATACCTGGGTTGTGGATTCGATCCCTGAGCAGGGCATATACTGGAGACAACCTATCGATGTTTCTCTCTCACGTCGATGTTCCTCGCTTTCTCTCTCCCTCTCTCTCTAAAATCAATAAAACGTATCTTCGGGTGAGAATTTAAAACAACACATTAAGTCTGTAAAAAGTCATGGGTCCATTATCATGCTCAAGAGAAAAAGCCAGAAAAAATTCAAAAGTTACAATGGCAACTGGTGTCCTCCACTCCCCGAGGCCACCAACCTGCCGAGCCTCAGTCCCGGGTCCCCGGCCTTTGCTTTTGATGACGCGGCCTTGGTGTTTGCTTCTCTTCTAGACCTTGGACAGGACATGCTGCGAGGAAGCCGCCTGCTGGCATGTGGGGTGTCGGGACCGCAGATGGAACTGCGCCTGCTGCTTCCTTTCTCACTACTGTCTGTCACCGCTCGGTGCACACGAGTCTGAGAAATCTTAGTGAAAAGGTGGAGAAGACGGAGCGAATGAACGCAGCCTGGGGAGCGAGCAGCAGAGCAGCCGAGCCGGTTCCTGCATGGGCAGTGGGCGGAAGGCCAGGAGGGAGGGACAGCCCTAAACCAACTCTGCGAAGGGCATTGCGAAACAAGAGGCCCTTGACCAGCTTCCTGCCGGGCCGTGCACCGCGGGCAGCGGGCTGCTCCGTGCCAGGACTCGGCCGGCCCTGGCGGGGCAGGAAGTGCTTCGCAATCGTCACCTCGTCCCTGAGCCCATTACAGCGCAGGAGCCAGCACGGCACCTCTGCCTGGACATCCGGTGTCCACTCCGCCTGGACGGCTCCTTTGTGCCTTCCAGCTCTCTCCGTACTTGTTTGAAAGGGAGACATGGTGAGCGTTCGGGTATCACGTTTGGAGAGGAGGTTCTCTGGGTAGTTTAGTTCTGAGCCTGGCCTTCTGGGCTGTGAGCAGTCCAGGTGGCGCCGACCCCACCCTGGCTTCCACACTGCGGTTCCCAGGATCTGGGGGATGGACGGCGCCCTGTTCTCCATCCCCCAGCCCTCGGAGAAGGGAGCCCCAGGTGCGCGCAGCTCTCGCAGGGACCGGACACTTACAGGTGTGTCGCCGGGACACTCCCCACGTGTCTCGGAGATGGAGCCCGGCAAACCCTGACGACGGAGCAGGAGGAGCCACCCAGGACCTCCCGCCGCCTGGCCACTGAGAGGTCCGCTGTTTGGTCAGTCTTCTGTGCCAGCGGCCAGCACTTCCCTGCCGACCGCCCAGGTGTCCCCTTGTGCTAGTGACAGACAGCGGAGACGGTCATTTTAGAGCAGCCAAGAGACTTCCATCGAAAAGAGAAAAGGCGGCGGGCCTGCTGTGGAAGAGCACTTCACAGGCCGGTGGATGCGGATGAACTGAGGAACCGCGGGGCCACACGCACCCTCCACGCTGTCTCCCTGAGCTCACCCTGTGGCAGCGGCAGCGGGATCACGACCATGCCCCTGGGCCCCGCCCACTCCAGAGGCCCCTCTTCTCCCTGGTGCCTAGCGCAGCGCCCCCTCCCCTGTGCGGCCAGGGACTGCGGCCCCCAGGGACACTGCACAGCTCTGACCCCCTCAGGGAACCTCAGGACAGGAGGCCAGCGCACCTCCAGGGCATCTTCAGGGCAGCATTGGGGCGTTTCTAACGTGGCCCATGAGAAAGAGCCCTCTGACCACTCGGAGGACGGCTCCTCCCCTCGCACTGGGGAGGGAGTTCCCGTTATGCCGATGCGTGTGCTGCAGGGACACAGTCCTGCAGTTCCTGAAAGACATGGCAAGGCATTTCATTCTCACTGACAAATATTTAAGTCATTTATTGCCGTTAAGTCACAGCATTTCAGAATACACACTGCATGGAAACGGACACTTTTCAGTCCCTGGGGTGAGACCTGAAGGGTGTAGCTGGGGTTGTCTCATGGTCGTTACAGAACAAGGCAAGAGTTCTGAGCACTCAGGTCTGAGAGTCACAGGCTTTGTTCTCTTCCGTGGCGCGCTCAGTAAATCCTAACAGATAACAACACGGCCTCAGAGAAAGCATGGCTGGGAAGCACGGAATGACTGCCTGTGACGACTGGTTAGGGGAGGAGAGTAGTCAGTACTTGGGAGGCAGCCGGGGCGGGTCAGGGGCTCAGGGGCTCTCGCTGTGGGTGGAAATGGTGGGGTTAGTAACACAGCACTCAGCGGGTCTTCCTCAGCAGGGCGTCCTGAGGACGGAGCCGGAGGCCCAGCAGCGGGCAGCGCCTCCCTGCCCGGTCACGCTGCTGCCTTCTTATTCATGCTGCAGGGAGACAAGGACACGGGGTGTCACTGCGCCTCAGGGCCCGGAGGCTTTAAGAAGCCCTCACACAACAGCCGTTCCCACTCCCGATGTTATGAAGACACACCCTGTCCACACTGTAGTCAGTGCATCTGCACAGCGTGGCGTTAACTGCCAGGCACTGTTTCACACTCAACAGCACGGCTTTCTCAGAAATGGGTTTCACATCCGTCTGCACACACTCATGGCCCAAAGGCCCAAGACAGGGCCGGGCCCGCTCTCCCCTCCGTCAGCAGAGGACGAGCCGGCGCTGCTTACTTGTATTTGATGAGCCGCCCGCCCTGGATGAGCTGGGCCACCTCGTTGGTGGCGTGGCACACGAACAGGAGCCAGTTGCGAGGCTGCACCTTGTAGGCGAATCTCATGAACGTCAGAGAGTAACAGCAGAGGGCTGCAAACACCAAGCAGAGGGGAGCAATGGCTCACGGTTCAGAGACCTGCTGTGGGAGGGACCCCAGACCCACCACGCACCCGCCTGAACCAAGAGAAGCTCTTCCGCTAAGACTGTGACAGGAGGTAAATTCTGGCGGAAAGGCACCAGGAATGGGAAGCTCATCAGGTATCGGACTCTCCTGGTGGGTACTGTTACTTATCACCTGAACAATTTAAGGATGGGGTGTCGGAGGGAGGGAGTGGGCACCTGAGTTCCAGCCACGGTCCTGTCCCCTCGAGTTGTTCACAGTCCCTCACTTGCAGGAACTGCTTTGTCATCCTCTCAACAGCTTTATGGTCAAATATCAGGGTTTCAAGTCAACGTAAGAAAGCGTTTTCCAACTACGCCCCAGAGGACACCTTCTTCAGCTGGGAGCAGTCAGCCCGCTGGCTAGCGAGCTCAGCGCTCCCAAGGCAGCATTTCAGAGCCACCTGCCTTTCCTCCCTGGGAGGGGTGATGCCATTTCCTAAGTGACTGTCCTGTCCGGAGCTGCGCTGGGGAGCTGTCTATGCTAATGATGCGGGGAAAGGCCGCAGTGTTCAGAGCACACACTCACCGAACGTCATCCGCCCACTGATGATCTCCGGAGACTTTTTCATGTCATTGATGGCGGCGATGGGGAGACCCCAGTTGGCTACTGGGCCCCAGAAGTGCTGTGGGAAGACAGAGAAGGGAAGGAAGGGAGAGGAAAAATGAAGGCGGAGCTGTGAACAGCTGGGCTTCTTACTTGGTCAGTGTGAGCCTTGGGAAACAAATCCCTGAGCTTTGTCCTGGGCTCGCTGGTCAACCGGCGAAGAGTGCCTATGAGTCAGCAGTTCTTACAAGGTGAGTTCAAAGCCAGAAAGGACTGGCAGTTTACCAAGTCCTGACCAGCTTTCAGAGGTCAACCAAGTAGCCTGATTGTCCCATTCAGAGAACTTTACAGTGAGATGAACTTCTCACACAATTCAGTCTTGCCATAACTTAAAACCTGTGATAACTATTCTCCATAATTTAATGCTTAAATCTATCAAAACTTCTTTTTCAAATTTTCATTGACATCTTTTAATATGCAGACCCTAAACTGGATACTTTCTCTGAAGAAAGGAACTTTAATACGGGAAATTTCTTTGGGCTCATGTGAGCTATTTTAAGATCTGAGAACCTGGAAATCTACACTCAAGAGTCCCAGATATTAAGATTGGAAAATAGCCCTGGCTGGTTTGGCTCAGTGGATAGAGCGTTGGCCTGCGGACTGAAGGGTCCTGGGTTTGATTCCGGTCAAGGGCACATGCCTGGGTCGCAGGCTCCATCCCCAGTAGGGGGCCCGTAGGAGGCAGCTGATTGATAATTCTCTGTCATCACTGATGTTTCAATCTCTCCCTCTCCCTTTCTCTCTGAAATAAAAATATGTATATTTTTAAAAAGATTGGGAAATACTTGTAAAATAATAGCAACAACTTCTATTTTTAAAATGGACCAACAGCTTTTCATTTTCCAACCATGGGGCCGTCCCGGGACACCAAGGTTCAGAGGCCCATGCTTAACAGCAGGGACAGCCAACTCAGCTGTGGAGTGACGAGTGAGGGCTGCACTGACAGGCTCTGTGAGGCAGGGCGTGCACTGTGGCCGTGAGCATGGCCGGTACTTAAATACATCTCTTATAAAGTCCCTAGAAGGTAAAAATAACTCCACACTGGCTGACTAAGGTACCCACCTCAGCAAGTTTAATACGCGCTTTCTAACTAGGGCGAGGCTCTCGTGCCCGCGTCCCTTTTTAAAGTACGTTAGTCTACGCTCTAGCAGAGAGTCACCATAAATGTCTAGAAAAAGAAGGAATTTCATGATAAATATTTGAAAGGAAAAAATTAACATATTTTGGATTAAATGGGAAAATACTTCTATTTCATTATAAATTCGTAACTTGGGTTAAAGAACATCCACACGAATGAAGCGCCATGATCTGGTTACTGACTGGGTGGAGTCTGTGCTCTGTGCCCACTGCTACCAGGAGGCCGTGCCCCTGGGTCCTGCAGAGGCGGGACTCTAGGAGGGACCAGAGGCCCACAGGGACGCCAGGGTGCCCTCAGCCGCTCCCCCCGCCCTGGTGCTGGTCACGCTACCTCCAGCAAAGGGGTCTGCTGTCCCTAACTCTGTTGATGCGGGATCTGCGACAGGCTGAAGTGAAGGAGGAACGGTTTTCTTACCGTGCTGTTTTGTGAGAAATCACCGCGGTTCAGACAGGGCGACATGAAACGAAAAAGAAGGAGAAGGTCAGGCGTTTTCAGAGGCGGCGTCCTCCGAGGCCACTGGGCCTCAGTCTGCGCAGTCTCGGCGCCGGAGCTGCGGAGTGGGCCGCTCGGTTCTTTTCCCCGAGAAGTCTAGTGACATTTCTAATAATAACTGGGACCCAATGAAATTAAACCTTAATTTTATTTAAAAAATAAGTGTGATCCTTAGAGGGCGCCAATAGAAACATAATGCAATTCACAAGCAGGAGCCACATACGTCATTTAAAAATTTCTAAAAGGAAAAACAGAAGTTAATTGTATTAAGTTTATCTATTCCCACATATCCAAGTCCTTGAATCTGAACACACAACCAGCGGCAATGCATGAGTGCGGTATCCTGTGCTCTATTTTGTACCGTGTCTTTGAGACGCGGCGATGTTGACGTGGCACCTCTGGGGGACCGGCCCCATTTCAGGGGCTCGCGGCTCTCACCCCACACGGCACGGGCTTAAAGGGGCCGTTCCTTAGACAATGACGAGCTGCAGAGAAGCACGAGGCTGCAGAATTCTATTAGCAACAAACGTCCCATTTTCATTGACGAACAGTTATCACCAGAACGAAGCCCCTAGGAAGAGGCGTGAAATGCTATTTGTTTGCGACTGAGAGGCAGGGACCTGAGTGGTGCCTTCCACTCACAAGGCATTCAAAGAAATATTTATTGAATAAATGAATAGGAAAAACTTTCAATGTCAACTGAACCGTTTTCCTCAACGCTAAGCTTCAGACCATTTAGAACACATAGGAAGTTTTATAGCGAATTCCTTTTATTTCTGAAATGGCAATTCTTCTTGCCAGGATACAGCTTAATTGTTCTGTGAAGGCAAAATCTTAAAGTTTATCCACTGAACGAGTTGTTGAAATACTCTGATACCATCTCCCATAGACAGGCGTCCAACACCACTTTCAGAGGTTTGATCCAGAGTCTGTGGCGGTTCTAGTTTACAGCATGAATTGCTGGCTGACGGTGCTGAGCAGGTTCTGCTATGAAATATAAGAAGCAGAAAGCCTAATGAATTGTGCCTCAGGCTGTGTCCCAGCAAGTCCACAGGACAGCGAGCAGCGCTTTCCCACAGGCAGAGGGCGAGGACCTCCCGGGTGGGGGGTGGGGGGGCAGCCACGGGCCACTCTCCTCACACGTCTCGGCTCCGGGTCTGAACACAGGCCTCGTGCTGAACTCTACATTAGCAACAACGCATTTCCTGTCCCTACAAAAATGTTTTAAAAGAGGCAGAGCTGACCATCTAAAATGCCATCTTGGAGCTACTTTGGTTTTCCATTCAGGACTCTCTCCCTGCATGTACAATAGTTCAGATTCTACCCTGGCTCACAACAGGTGGCTTCTGTACAAACATAAAGCAGCAGTTGGCTATTAATGCAGCAGGAACTCGCGGAAGCCCATGGGCGTTGGTCCTTGTAACACTGCCCGGCGGGCTCAGGGGCTCAGGCAACTCCCTACCTGACGGCCCTCACACTGTTTACCCACCGTGGCCTTGCTAAGGGGCAAATGTGTGTCCACATAAGGCGGACCGGGCGGGACCGGGCCAGACCGGCCGGGAGTCCGGTGCCTCTTCCAGCGGGGCCTCCACTGGCCGCAGGCTTTCTAGGTGCCCATTTCCTGGGCAGCATTCTCATGTGCGCGGCCCCTCCTCAGACCTGCACCCGCCAGGAGGTCGGCATACAGGGACGTGGAGAAGGAAATTCCTGCCCGCAGACGGGGTGCAACCCGAAAGCCCTGCCCGCGAACGCCTGGCAGCCGCACCGTGAGCCCGCTGTGCCAGGACCGGCAGGAAGAACCAGTTCCCCGACAACTGCAGCGCCAAACCTGGACGGGGAGGTGCGGAGGGGAGGGGTCCACTGCACGGCCCGGGCGCTTCAGCGCACTGCCGGGCAGCAAAAAACATGTGCACTTCAGAATTAGCGGACCCCTTGGACCGCGCCACTGGAGGGGGTCCCCCCCCCCCCCCCGGGG